TAAACCCTAAGCCCCAAGCCCTAACCGAGGTGGCCGTCCAGACTTGGAGCTTGAAGCTCGAAGGCCTTTTCCCCCTCGAGGCAGCTTCCGGCGTCATGCTCGCTCAGGTGGTCGTGGGTTTAGGGTTAGGGTTTAGGGTTTAGGGTTGAAAGTTTAGGGTTTAGGCTTTAGGGTTTAGGGATGGTACGTTTGATGATAAAAATCCTGCAATATCCATAATGAGGAATATACCCAAATTCCCATAGTTTAGGGTCCTTTGTTGGGGCTATACTGGAAAACGATGAGGGAGAGAAGAGCCGCGCACACGCACTCGACAATTTTAGGGCGACCTGGACATGAAGCAGGATTTTGAAGTCAGGGCAATAGTGCTCCTGCGGATCGGGGAGTCAAATTCCGCGAGCCATTTGCGGTTTCTCAGCAAGTCCTTGCCCCGTTTCCTCGCTCCGCCTTCTTGCCGATGGCCATGACTCTCCGCAGCGTCGTTGCCTTGGCTCTTGTGGCCTTCGCCGTGACCGAGGACATCCCCCAAGATGCTGCGCCGGCACTGGAAGCCCTGCCCCAGAGCTTTTGGGACAACTTCGTCTACTGCAAGTGCGGCCTTTCCTGTGCAGAGAAGGATGGCTCCATCGGCAAGGCCTGCCATGTTCTAGATCCCGTAGTAATCAAAATGGGGTTCTGGGAGGGTACCCTGTAGTATAGGGACGCAAAGGGCATGGTATTGTTTCTTCTTCAGGCATCTACATTATGCGATGGCTTCGGAAGTCCATAATGTAGGGGCCTAAATGATTACCTTTACTATTTTGAGGGTTCCTTGTTATGTCTATAGTATAACAGGGCCCCAAAATACCCTATTCTAATTAGAAAGGCCACCTGTATTACGCAAGTAAAACTCCGGAGTCTGATGTTCACGCTGTCTTCAGCCAGATGGGACTTTCCGAAAATAGGGGGGTACCATATTTTGGGGTCCTTAGAATAAGGATCCTATTATTTAGGGTACTATATCAGGGTCCCCTATGTTCGGAAACCCCCATAGAGACATCCCCTAACAACTTAGTAACTCTTCCTTAACATGTCTAGAACACCCACCGAACCGTAACACAAATGAACCTGAGCCTTAAACCCTAAAGAAACTCTGAGAGCCCCTAAACCCTAAATCGGGGCTGGCTTTGAAGGCACCCTCGTAATGTAACCGCTATAGTGTGATCAAGTTTGTGAACAATGCATATCTACATTATGTACGCCAAGCCCTGTTTCAATCATAGCCGATGCACAGTTCTAGCATGATATACACTAAGATCCTATTCTAAGCATCGGATCATGAATACATCGAGTCACGAAAAAATGAATCCTTCATCGAAACTCCTGCAATGCTGAATTGGTCACAGATGTAGGAAACCTTTTTGAAGGCATGCGGCTGCCTGGTATGCCCGGAGAGCAACGGCACTTCCCTGCGCGGCAGTCAGCCCGCCCATGCCGGTGAGAAGGCTGCGGTGAGTGCTGAGACTGCGCAGGCACGGCAGGGCATTGATGCTTAGAATGGGCATCGGGGTGTAAGTTTGGCATTATTCTACGGTGACTATAGGGATTACTATTTCACTGATGCCGATCCGCCGCGTTTGCTCATGAAGCATCACGGGTTTGCAAGGTATTCTGAAGCACCAGTGGCCTAGTGCAGAGTCCTCAAGACACCGCCGACATTGCCTGGATTCTCTGCAGGGCTTCCGCACAGTGAGGGGCGCCAGAGTAGCTGGTGTCTTCGCACCATGACCCCTGACTTTTTCCGATTACACAACCAACCACACTGCCACCAGAACCACCAAGACAAAGCCGGCCTTAAACCCAACAGCTCTAAGCTTTTGATTTCCCTAAACCCTAAACCCTAAACCCTAAACCCTAAACCCTTTTCAAAACCCTTTGAGACACGAGCACCAGGCGCCAGAGCGGCAAGGCACACCCGTGGCACTGGAGAAGAGCCTCGGCTCCTCCGGCTGGGACCTGCCATCCGTCAGCCCTGTCTCTTGCACCTCGCTCTGCAACTTAGCACATAGCATGGGTTCCACAAGCCTTTCGTAACTGGTAAGAGTAGACCCTAAACCCTAAACCCTAAACCCCTAAACCCTAAAGTAGCCCTTACAGCCCAGGCAGAGTAGAAGTAGGTCTACTGAGGCTCCAAGCCTTTATCTTGGTGGTAGTGTTGTCATGAGGTTGCTGAGCATTCAGGGGCTCAATCTTATTCTCACGACATTCGACATGAACTGCCGGTAAGACGACGCTTGCAGTGCTTTCCTAAGCCCGAAGCCCTCAAACCCTGAATCTTTGTGTTTGTTGGGCGTGATCTCGCCGGTGAGGCCCCTGTGGCAAGTACTGTGCGAAGGGACGCATTCTCGGGCTATGGAACTACTGGTGCTTCCGCGACTTCGACTTGACTTGGGACGCTTTGTACTTCGAGTGTTTGGGGTATTCAATACCCTGAGCCCTACACACCAAACTTTAAACTTTAAGCTTGTCGGGGGGCTTGAACATATAGGCTCTCACTACGAATAAGAGCCGCATACATGAGGCTACGAGTGCAAGTCCTGCTGATCATCTTGGCAACTGGAAGCCGTTTCATTTATGTACAGCTTTATATGTACAGATTTTTGGATCCTGTCGCACATAGATGCGTATCCCCTTCCGCAACTCTATGCGTCTACCAGCCCCTGCGTCACTTTTGATTGATGGGGTAGCTGGGAGATCTTTGTTCAGCAGCTGCGTTGCACAGTTGGGTGGCAGGATCGCGGAGGAAGCCTCCGAATTCAGGTGCAGCACAGGCAACAGCCGCGATTTGTGAGCAAAGTTGGAACTCACACAGTTGACACGCCGTGACACTGACGCCGGCAGGCTGTACTTACTGACGTCTCCTCTTCGGGGACAGCTCCGCTTCTGTTTCAAAACAATGAACCGTCACCCCGCCGATGCTGCTGGGGTTCCACATTCAAGCAGGAGTTTGGCCTCCAGGGCCATGGTGTGCCACATTCCGCGAGCCATTTGCGGTTTCTCAGCAAGTCCTTGCCCCGTTTCGCTCCGCCTTCTTGCCGATGGCCATGACTCTCCGCAGCGTCGTTGCCTTGGCTCTTGTGGCCTTCGCCGTGACCGAGGACATCCCCCAAGATGCTGCGCCGGCACTGGAAGCCCTGCCCCAGAGCTTCTGGGACAACTTCGTCTACTGCAAGTGCGGCCTTTCCTGTGCAGAGAAGGATGGCTCCATCGGCAAGGCTTGCCATGGTCTAGATCCCGTAGTAAGCAAGATGGGATGCTGGGGTCTTCTTCGAATAAGTAGGGAATGGTACTTCGTGCTTCCTTGAGTTTCTATTTTCTGTGATGGCTTTGGAGCTTCCTAGGCAAGCAATTTTTAGCCCTTCCTTGAACCCTCTAAGACCACCCCGGGCCCTGGACTTTAAAAAAGCCAAAACGCTTGGAGCACCCTTTTAACCCTAAAGCCCTAAGCCTTTAAAGCCCGCAGAATGTCCTCAGCCCTAGCAAGTCTACGTTTCCCTTGGATTCATTCCGAGGGCGGGCTTTGATCCTTCGGAAGGTTCAGAAAGAAACTGCTGTCCCTTGTAAAATGCGTGGGGGGTCGTAGATATAGAAGAGTAATACGAATGAAACTAAACGCAATAATCACAACAATACTAGCGATAACAAGTACAGTAGAAGATACTCCCAAATCCCGTTTCTAATCGTAGTCCTTGCACGGTCATAGTACAATGTACCCCCCAAGCCCTATTCTCATTGTTCTAGTGCGCCTATACTCTAGACTAGACCCAAGAATTACGACCCTCGAGTCCCGACGCTACACCTTTGAATCTCAAAAACCGCATAAAGCCATGTAGCAGTGCTATGGAGCCCTTACAAAAGCCCCAGAACTGGGAAATCCGAAGGCATGTGGCTGCCGAGTATGCCCGGAGAGCAACGGCACCTCCCTGCGCGGCAGTCAGCCCGCCCATGCCGGTGAGAAGGCTGCGGTGAGTGCTGAGACTGCGCAGGCACGGCAAGGGCATCGATGCTTAGAATGGGGCTTCGGCGAGACATGATCATACAATTCTGCAGGAACTAGTATTGCCACGTACCCCGACTGCGGCCACACATGTCCCAAGCCCGCCGCCCTAGACCCTAAAAACCCTAAAACCCTAGACCCTAAACTGCTTACCAGCTGTGTCTATGGATAAAAAAATTCTGGAGCACAAGTGGCCTCGTGCAGAGTCCTCACGATACTCCAGAAGAGCTAAGGAGATTCCTTGCAGTCTTCCGGGACATCAGAAGACGCGAATAACAAGCTAAACCCTACACCTGAAGCCTGCAACTCTACACACAAACCCTAAAACCCAAGACCCTTTAAGACGCGACCACCAGGCGCCGGAGCGGCAAGGCACGCCCGTGGCACTGGAGAAAAGCCTCACGTCCGGCTGGGACCTGCCATCCGTCAGCCCTGTCTCTTGCACCTCGCTCTCCAACTCAGCATATGGGTAGTTCTCTAAACTAGGGCCCCTTTTAAGGTCCTTTTTATAAGGGTTTAGGGGCCGTAACCCTTCAGTACTTCCTGAAGGTATCCCCTTTACAGTCCCTACGCCGGTGAGGCCCTTGCGGAAAGTACTGTGCGAAGGGACGCATTCTCGGGCTATGGAACTACTGGTGCTTCCGCGACTGCGGAATTGACTTGGAACGCTTTGTACTTCGAGTATTTGGGGCATTCAAGACCCTGAGCCCTACACACTAAACTTTCAACTTTAGGGGCTTGAACATATAGGCTTTTACTACGAATAAGAGCCGCAGACATGAGGCTATGAGTGCAAGTCCTGCTGATCATCTTGGCAACTGGCAGCCGTTTCATTTATGTACAGCTTTATATGTACAGATTTTTGGATCCTGTCGCACATAGATGCGTATCCCCTTCCGCAACTATATGCGTCTACCAGCCCCTGCGTCACTCTTGATTGATGGGGTAGCTGGGAGATCTTTGTTCAGCAGCTGCGTTGCACAGTTGGGTGGCAGGATCGCGGAGGAAGCCTCCGAATTCAGGTGCAGCACAGGCAACAGCCGCGATTTGTGAGCAAAGTTGGAACTCACACAGTTGACACGCCGTGACACTGACGCCGGCAGGCTGTACTTACTGACGTCTCCTCTTCGGGGACCGCTCCGCTTCTGCTTCAAAACCATGAACCGTCACCCCGCCGATGCTGCTGGGGTTCCGAAAGACAGAACTGCCCACAAGGCAGAACACCTATGACACACATCCCAAGCCCACAAGCGCCCCAAAACCCGGCAACAACCTTGAAACCTAAACCCAAAGCCCTTGGACCCTAAACCCTTAGAGCCTAATCCCTTGAACCCTTGAATCCGAAACCCAAGACCGAACCGAGGACCCTTAACCCCTAGGCCGTCAGACCCTGGGTCCCAAATGAAGCCCTTGAACCTACGCCCCAAACCTTAAATAGGGTTTAGGGTTTAGGGTTTAGGGTTTAGGGTTTAGGCCCTGAAGCCTTTGAACCTAAACCCAAACCCTGAAGCCTTTGAACCTAAACCCCAAACCCTAAACCCTGAAGCGATTGAACCTGAAGGGCATCAACGTAAACCCTAGATCCGACGTCGACGAACATTCGCAGAGGTTCCCGGCGTCGGAGGCCATTTCAACCCAGAGCCTTGGCTGATACCAGAAAAGCCGGTGCATTCCTGGAGAGTGTTGTCAACCGTAATATAGGGGCCTTAATAACTAGAATATGGTTTTGGGGCCCAAATTGCCATAATTAGAATAAGGAACCCCCTCCTCAGCCTCCTCCTCCTCCTCCTCCTCCTCCTCCTCTGTCCTCCTGCTTCTCTTCTCTGACAGCCGGCTCTCCCTTGGGCGGGCCCTCTCCATCCTCTCCAAGCGGTAAAAACCCTATTCTAATTATTAAAGTGGGTTTAGGGTTTAGGGTTTAGGGAAAGCCGCTACATTGTTGTTTGTTGTTCTTCTATAAAGTTGTATACAAGGGGCTTGCATGCTAGGGTGGGGGGCAAGCGGGGCTTGCGTTGTAGAGGCCACGGGTTTGCTGAGATGGCGGAGCCTGAAAGTCTCGAGCAGTTCAGGGCTGTATATACTCGTTTCTGCTGAAGGCAGCGTTTGGATTTGAAGACTTCGCATTTGGGGCTCAAGGTTTGGGATGGCGAGCATGGTTAGGGGAAGAGAGTGCTGATGCGTACAAGAGCAAGGCGAGCAACGACACTTACAGTCCATGGTTCTTTGAGCAGAAGTTGCAGTGACAGTCAGTGTGAAAGATACTCGTATTTGGAAGCAAGGCGTCAAAACCCTAATGCCACGAATGAGTCACAGCATTACATACTTACATCATCAACATCATCATCATCCTCATCCTCATCCTCCTCGTCGTCGTCATCAGCACACGACTAAGCCTCGCGCGACCATCAAGACGTATACTCATAGAGCAACAGCCTCTTGATGTCCCTGTAAGCGGTTCTAAACCGTTCCCGCCGATCGATACCCAATTTATAGAGCCTAAACCTGAAACCCCAGCTCGCAAACGCTGGACCCCAACCCTAAGGTAAACCGTGACTCGCAACCTCCGGTAAACCCAGAGACGCTTGCCAAACTTACAATGCAAACTCCGAAACGCTAACCAATCAGCGAAAGACCCCTGCTAAACTCCCCGGGTACTACATAACTTAAACGTGCATGCAGGCCTCAATGCCAAAACCCAATAAAACTCTCGTATAAAGCATTCCAACTAAGCGTTGTAGAGAGTCCCTGTAGAAGCTGATGATTATAACACTCTAAACCCTAAACCCTAAACCCTAAATATCAAGCCTAGTACAGACCCAAGACTTTTGCGAAGGCGCGCAGAGCAGGCCCCAAAACCCGAGAGAACCCGTGGTCCGGGGGTGTTAGGAACCCAAAAAGGACATAAGCATAAGCATTTTATAGGGTTTAGGGTTTAGGGTCTAGTGATATCCCTACCTTATTGGGCTTCACTATAAGGGGATTTATATGGGATATCCCTACCCTAGTTTGTGCTTATGTGCCTTTTTTGGGGGGCCCTACAGTGGGTTTTGGACCTAAGGTTGACAAGGCACCTCCATTGGGATTCGACGTACCTGTGGCCATAGTAGCCTTCTTCGAAACTCTTTGTGGTGAACCCTAAACCCTAGTTACTAAGTCCCATACGGTTTAGGGTTTAGGGTTACTAAGTCCCATACCCTAAAAAGCCCTAGTTGCTAAGTGCCATGGTATAAGGGCTGGGGGGTTTGAAAACTTTGGAGCGAGCTGAGCCTCTGCCCAAAGCTCTGGGATGCATCACGAAGTTCACGGCTTGTCAAAAGCTACTTCGAGGATCAGTTTCGAGTTTTTGGTCTTCGAGGTACTCAAAACCATTACCATATATGGGTAGTTGTCAAAATTATGGTCCCTTTTGGGGTACCCTAAATAATAGGTGCCGTATTATAATAAGGACCCCAAAAGGGACCATAATTTTGACAACCACCCATATATAGTCCCGCGTCGCCGCGTCAGTGCGCCCCCTCCCCCCCGCCACTTCCCATGGCAGCCAAGCCAGGGCTGCCATCCGAGCAAACAGTCACAGGGGGGTCTAATATAGGGGCCTTAACAATTAGAATAGGGTTTTGGGGCCCATGATACTATAATTAATAATAAGGGACGTTCTGTTGGAACTCTCGCACAAGATCGCGCAATCCCGCCCCACCCCCTCCCCACCCAGGTGAGAATGATGGCGATGATGCTGAGGACAATGACGATGATGTGCTTCTTGCATGCTGGTATTCCGAGTGTAATTCACCACTGCTCTTATGCTGTTCTGCCCTTAGGAACCACATGTTCTTTGCTTTTGTGTGTCTCAAAAGCTTGCTTGGGTTGATGGGTCGGAATCATTAGACCAGGGTTTTTGGCGTATAGTATGAAAACACTCTATAGGGGCTACAAGGGGACACTATTTCCAAGTATTCCGACCCTGCCTACACCTAAGGATACATAAATATGGAGGGCTCGGATCAATGTCCACTCTTCTTCACCCCACAACTCTAAACCCTAAACCCTAAAACGGTTTAGGGTTTAGGGTTTAGGGCTTTAGGGTTCTAATTTCTAAGGCCCTTAGCTCACAGAAAGAAGAACCGGGTCCCGGTTCCGGAACTTGGTTCAAGCAATCGCAAGGAAAGCAGACCAGCTGATGCCACATGTCTATCTCCCAATTATGGCGTACATCTCTGGTAGTGTTACTTAGCTTTCTTAGCATGGGACCCATAAAAAAAACACCTTACAAAAAAGGTTCACAAAACCCGGAAAGACCTTTCTTCAACGCTGCCAAGCTGTGTGCAACTCCATGTTCCGATTACTTCAAGGATCATGGGACTTAGCAACTACGGTTATTATTACGGTAACTATACTTATAACCCCAATTAAGGCACTTATAACCCTACTTACTAAGTCCCATGATCCTCCAAGTAGTGGCAAGGCCGATGTGGATGCCGCAATGGGCCCGCTGGCAAAGTCTGCCGGAACCCCGGAGGGCTGCAAGTCATGAAAGACTGTTACAGGGTCTTGTAAGGCTCTATAGGGATCCATAGGGTGTTAAACCCTAAACCCTAAACCCTAAACCCTAAACCCAAAAGGGTTCTTTTTGGTTTTATCGGGTTTCATCTGGTTTTGTCGGTCTTTATACGGGATTCGTCACAACCTGCGTAAGCCCCGGGAAGATGAGCAAAAACAACCGCAAGGCTGCCGCTACTGTAATGTAGAAGCCCAAATAGTTACCAATATTAATGTAGGATTCCTTATACTATATATATATATATATACATACATACTATAAAGGGGCCCAAAACCCTCTTCTAATTACTAAAGCCCTTACAATACCTCCCAGACACATGAGGGCAACCCGCTGTTAGCCGCTGCACAGTGCGAAGTCGAGAAATCTACAGCGGAACAGATGGCGGTAGTGGTAGTAGTAGTAGCAGTAGTAGTAGTAGTAGTAGTAGGAGGAGGAGGAGGAGTAGAAGCAGCACCTGATAAATCTCTGCTTCCCATGGT